AGGCCTCCCTGCCCCTCTCCGGAGCCAGCCACTTCCCGGGGGACACACTTTGCAGCAAGTGCCAGAGCCTGACAGGCCTTTGCTCCAGGTCCGGTGTCTGGCCGGCAGTCGCTGGGTGCGAAATGGAGGGGGTGGTACCCCCACGAAATCCCTCCATTCCTCACCCGGCTTCACCCACTTCCTAGGGCTCATGGCCAATGTATCCCTGCCAATGTAAGTACCCACCCTGCCTCCATTCCTAGGCCATGGGGGCGTTGCCTGCGGGTCTGCAGGGCCTCTGACCAGTGACCGAGCCTTGCCCGGTAGTACCCTCGGCCTCTGTTTGTTGGATGGGTCCACGGTTCTTCCCGGCTCGTTGTTCCCTGCAAGGCTGCATCTTGGATTTGAAGCAAAACTGAAGACTGAAATGGAGTCTGCCCCGTGTTATTTTATATCCAGCCTGGCCTCCTCCTGGCCACAGAGGGTCACATGGTCCATCGACCGATCCTTGTGTCCCACGTCAGCCACCTTCCCGGAGTGTGTACTGGCACCTAGAGATCCATTGTCTCCTTGCTAATTAGCAGAGCCACTGGCTGGCCATTCCTTGCCCTTTGCTCAGCCACAGAGACCTTTCCAGCCTCCACACAGAGGACATGTGTCTAGCCCCACATACAGAGATCATACAAGTACATGGATAGCACATCCAGAATCAGTAGAACAGAAGCTTTCATGTGACACCTCACATGGCCCCCTTTGTATGCACTTTGGGGCAAATCCCCCCCCCCCAGGGTGCAGCAGTGATCTGGCTGCTCCCCTTAACTCTAGTTACATGACAGCCCCTCTGTGGTCTCTCCAGGGCTCCGTAGAGTCACCGTGGTCAACACGTGGTACAGTTCCGCCTCCCTCCAGCGCCTCCTCCCTGGGGCTGGCGTCGGGTTCCAGGACGTGGCCGCGTCTGACGGAGGACGGAAGTGAGTGCGCCGCTACTTGGGGGCGGCGACAAACGGGGACGTGCCAGTCAGACCTGGCCAGGCCCCGGGAGCCTTTGGGTCTCCTGTGACTGCCGTAGCGCCCCGCATAGAAAACAGCGAGACTCTGGCCCCGGGCCACGGGAACTTGTGCTAGAGAGCGGCGTGGGATCGTCTGCGGGTGGTAGCCGGGACCCTGCCGAGGGACTCGGTGGACGCCCTATGCCGGTGGAGACCTGCTCTCGCTGGCTGGGTTTAACGGCGCCAGGCAGAACTGGCCCAGTCCCCGCCGCCGTGCGGCGCCGAGGTGGGAGCAGATGCGCCTGGGGCTGCGGCAGGGCCCATCCGGGAGGAGCACCAGGCTGGAAAGTGGCTTGAGGAAAGCACCAGCCGTCGGCGCCTGCGGGAAGCGCTCTGAGTACTCAAGAGACGCCCTCTCCCGCCGGCCGGTTGCTGTCTGCCCCGGGGGATGGTTTCCTCACAAGCCTCCTTTACCTGAGCCCCGGGGCGGGGGCTGCCTGGTTTTCATTCCCCCCCCC